TGTTTGACTCCAGTTTCTGATCAATAGACATCATATCATATGCTTGTATATTGACTTTACTTGATGGCAGATACAATGTATGATTGCAGGAAGTTGCTTGTAAATCACATGGTTTTATTTCCTGTCACTTCTCAAGTCATTGGTCCCCTCTAGCTCAATTGGCTACTTCATGGGTGCAAGTATTTTGGGGGTCAATGCCCTATTGAGAATTCAACCATGTATTTTTTGCAAGAAGCAAAGAGTAGCTTCTAACACATCTGTGTAACAATGTAATTAATTTCATCGCAAAATCTGCGTAAGCATTGAATATATCTATGTACCAAAAACACACATCTGTGTAACACTTTGAACACTTCTATATAACACTTTGAACACATCTGTGTAGCACTTTGAACACATCTGTGTAGCACTTTGAATACATCTGTGTAGCACTTTGAATTCATCTGTGTAGCACTTTGAATTCATCTGTGTAACACTTTGAATCATTTGTGTAACACTTTAAATCCATCTGTGTAACACTTTTAATCCATCTGTGTAACACTTTTAATCCATCTGTGTAACACTTTGAATTCATCTGTGTAACACTTTGAATCATCTGTGTAACACTTTTAATCCATCTGTGTAACACTTTGAATCCATCTGTGTAACACTTTGAATCCATCTGTGTAATACTTTAAATCCATCTGTGTAATACTTTGAATCCATATGTGTAAAACTTTGAACACATCTGTGTAAAACTTTGAATACATCTGTGTAACACTTTGAATACATCTGTGTAACACTTTGAATACATCTGTGTAACACTTTGAATACATCTGTGTAACACTTTGAATACATCTGTGTAACACTTTGAATACATCTGTGTAACACTTTGAATACATCTGTGTAACACTTTGAATACATCTGTGTAGCACTTTGAATATATCTGTGTAGCACTTTGAATACATCTGTGTAACACTTTGAACACATCTGTGTAACACTTTGAATCCATCTGTGTAACACTTTGAATCCATCTGTGTAACACTTTGAACACATCTGTGTAGCACTTTGAACACATCTGTGTAACACTTTGAATCCATCTGTGTAACACTTTGAATCCATCTGTGTAACACTTTGAATCCATCTGTGTAACACTTTGAACACATCTGTGTAACACTTTGAACACATCTGTGTAACACTTTGAACACATCTGTGTAACACTTTGAATCCATCTGTGTAACACTTTGAATCCATCTGTGTAACACTTTGAACACATCTGTGTAACACTTTGAACACATCTGTGTAACACTTTGAACACATCTGTGTAACACTTTGAATCCATCTGTGTAACACTTTGAATCCATCTGTGTAACACTTTGAATCCATCTGTGTAACACTTTGAATCCATCTGTGTAACACTTTGAACACATCTGTGTAACACTTTGAACACATCTGTGTAACACTTTGAACACATGGCTAACTAATCTATAACACTTTGTACAAGTTACTGTTTTCCAACACTGGTCATACCTACTGACATGCTCTTGTCTATAGTGGCTGACATTTACGTGTGTGTTATCATTTCTAGCATTTTAGCGCATATCTTAATATATTTACTTTCTGAGTTGTACAGCCTGCAGGATTGCTATTATCACTATCAACTCCTTCTGTTTATATCACCACGGTTGACCTTTCATGACCTTTTGGGAGCAGTCTGTCCAAATATGGATGTTTTTTCCAACCGTTTTAATTAATTGAACTTTATGAGCGTCCAGTGTCTACATTGAGCTTTACTGGCACCGTCCACATTGTATGCTGCTTGACCATATAGAGATTCATACATATAGAGATTCATACATATATGAAATATATTTAAATATATGATGGGTGGTAAGCTTGCTCATTGACCCAATGGATGCCACAATTTTTTTTCTTGCAAAATGTTTTACAAATTATTATTTTAATAGTTTTCTATAATTAATTTTGGAGGTTATGGGCTCTATTTCCCTCTCTATTGGCGACACGTCTTGACCATTATTTTTTTCAAGTTGTTAAGCTTTTGAATGTTAAAGTAAATTAATATTACCTTTCACAAAATGAAATAAAACTGCACTAGAAAAGTAAATTATGTCCAATTAAGTTAAAAAAAAATCAATCATGAATTCTTCAAAATTCATGAAAATGCGCAAAATTTTTGTAGAAAAAAGATGGGTATGTGTGTGCTATCTTAAAGACTAAACTTTAATACTGAATTGCCAAAGAAGAAAAAGTACTATTTTTTTTTTTACATACTAGTGATCTACTATGGTCTCAGTTGAATAGAGATGCCAGATAATTTACGGTGTAAGCCTTGAAGCTGTCTTTCTATTGTTGCCACTTGATATACAACGTTTTACGCAATTGTTATCCTCCGGTATCAATAAAAGGAACTGAGATCAGATAACTGTTTCTGTGGGGTGATGATTCCATTAGATAGACAGATAATGGTCCTCATTTATTTCTTTCATGCTGGACATTTTGTTTGTCTGGGTTTTACTCAATAATACAGCTGGTCAGCCTGATGGTAAAGGGATCGATAGATAAGGGTTCCCAAGAGTTCAAGGCCCCCTAGCATCCGGTGATAAGCCATCATGTCTGTCCACTGACCCCCTACTTCAGCATAAGTGATCTGTGATAGGTAGATAGGGATTAATTGATGTATTTATGTTGGTGCAAATTTTCTCTGTTAGTTGATTTAAGGATGTTCACAAATGACGATTGAAATTCCATGAAACTTGCTGTGACTTACGTGGAGAAGACCCCCTGCAAGTAATTCAAGGGTGGTGGTCGGAGTGCCATGCTTATCGGACATTTGAGTCCTATATTATCAAAGATGGGGACTGTTAATGTTTTGACTATCAACATGTACATAAAGATATTACCATGGTTTAACTAAACTACTGCCGTGGTTGGAAAATGTCGAAAAAGTTCAAAATCAAGGCAGTTAAATAGTGCACATCGTGACCAGATAAAAATTTGCAATTAGCTTTTGGGTGAATCACTTTTTATCATCCCAAATCGTGCATATGTGAGGTGTGACAATCGCCGCCATTTAGCTGTGACTCACTCATCTTAACAACTCTTATGAATAATTCACTATTAATAAATTTCCCAATTTTCGTCGTCTTGCCCAAAATTTGTGATTATACATATCATAAAATCTTTCATAGCGACACCAAGACTAGATTATAACCGATCAGTGTTCACAAGATGACAATTTGTCTGATATACTAATCTATGTTCACGCTCAGCGACAAATTTATCTGCAAGTTTGGTCAAATATAACCTAACATCGAAATTCAACAAATCTAAATCATATCGGTTATACGAACACAATGCTGCACATTAAAGAATATTAATTATCAGTAAATATATTGATTCTTTTTAACTTTTTAATCTACGAGTGACGATATACACGTACACGTTCAGCATTCTCACTGATAGCGTCAAATGAAATGCAATTAACATTCTTATCGTCACACCTGCTCCCAAATTTGGCAGTGCTGATCAGCAAAGTTATCCATGCGGTCATAGCCAAATAGATACGCTCTTACAATTCTGCTGATAATGGAGAACTGATTTGAATCACCCCTGTCGTGTCGGCTTGTTTGTTACGGGTCCCATGTCATGTCTACAACACGAGTAGAATTTGAATGCACAGCACCTACGTTGATTCAATCTCCTCAAACGTAGACGCCTACGTTGATTCAATCTCCTCAAACGTAGACGCCTACGTTGATTCAATCTCCTCAAACGTAGACAAAATAATTTGGAAAAAAGGGGGGGAGATAATTTGTTATGTTTTATTGCATGCAATCTATATACGTATCTGTCTCGTTACTATTTGCACACACATACTGATATCAGTGAAATGTGGTAAATGTTTGGATTTCCTGTCCTGTTGGTCGTTGAATTGTTATAAATTATATCAATCTGTCGCAGCATTTAGCTTAATTCTGCTTTTAAGTTTAACCCTTTACCCTACAATTCCAACTGAATGGGGCCAGGATATTTGTTTGTTTTATTCGTAAGCTCTGCTTCCATCAAGGATGCCTCAATGGATTTATTTCCTTTGTCCATCCTCGTCTTCCATCCCACATCCTGTGGTAAAAATGTTACATTTCTTCATTTTTTTTTTTTTTTAATAATATTTTGTGTATACACCTACCAGATTTGCTGTACTATTAATGCAGACATACATTACAGAAGTATATACATTTTTTTTTATTAATATTCTATTGGAAATGCATTTCTAATAGAGCAAATACTGTATTATATAGGTTGCATGGAAGCCATTTTGAGCATACTATGATGCACTGTTTATGTTACATCAGGAAAATGGAGAATAGAGACATCAATGATAGCAATATACCTCATTGATTGCCAAGCTTGATGGGAAAGTTGTGAAGTCTCAGTTTTTTTTAAAAAAAATTTAAAAGATTTTAATGAATCAAATTTAGTTATAATTCATAGGCGCTTGTTAAATATGTATTAAATATGGTATAAATTCATTCAAAGGTTGCTAAGCAATCATTATTGATTACTAGTATTGGATTGTGAAAAGACCTGTCACCTTGTGGCAGCATATAAAATTACTTTTGTTTTTTACTAAAAAAACTTTGATATGTTTCTTTAGAAATTTAACGGCAGCTAATTTTATCTTGTGCTTAAAAAAGGTAAATTTGCTAAAATTGCCCAGGGCACAAGTTATGTATAAATGTATGCATTAAATTCATGATTTTTCATGAAAAGTTAATGTAACTGAAATAATTGCAATATTCCTAGAAACCATGCCAGAAATGTTTTTTTTTTTTTTTTTTTTTTTTTGAGTAGCATTGTGTACATCTATCATTAGATCTGAAAAGACTTTGAATATCTAAGTAATTTTTTCCATCCCGTTTTTGATGGGTCTTAAACTAAAACAATACAGTCCTATGTTTGTGGACTTTTCTAACTGACTATATTTTTTATCTTTCATTCAGATGGCACCAGTAAGTGGTGGTTGGATGACACAAGTTATTTATTACAGGAAACAAAACAACAAACAAATCATACACACAGAAGACGTAAGCGGTCCACGAGTGAAGAGAACTTTGTTGAAACCTTAGTAGTCGTTGATAATAAGATGTATCTTCATCATACACGCAACAATATCGAGCCATACATCTTAACCATTATGAATATTGTAAGTTAACTCATATATCCCATAAAACACTCAATTTTATGTATTGTTACAAGTGTCGCGCCATGATTGGTCGATAGTTTTAATTCATGCAAGCATTGTCAGAATCTCAAATACTGCACATCACGTTTCCAGTCCACATATTTGGTGTCATTCAACCGGAAATGTTTTCAAAAGTGCCAGGAAATCATATCGTGCTTAAATGTTATTATTGTCAAAATTGGTAATATTTTGTTGATTCAGCATACAGCTAATGTAATTTTTGATTTTAAATGTGCATCTATCAGAGATGTGTTTCTAATAGAACAAATATGGTACATCTTTAACATTGTTTTCTCAGGAACTCTGTTTATCTGTTTTTGAATAATATTTGGGAAATTTTCCCAAAATACATAAACACAATGTTGTTTACTGTTACCATGGTAACTACTAGTATGCCTGTAGCTCTATGCTTGTACATAATAACTCACTAAACACTCATGTTAATCATCACCGTGTACATGTATGTTGCCAAATAAGTAGACGTTTACATTTACTCAGCGTTCCCTTTTTTAAGGCCATGAAATGTTTATAATAGTAACAAGTTTTGATGAGGTCTTGAAAGGTCAGTTTTGCTCAATTATTTTACTGTGATTTTAATTATTTTTATGTGTATAAGGTGATGTTAAACATCCAATCACAGGCAGACTGGTATCGGGTTATGTTAAACATCCAATTATGAATATCTATTTAGCGCTCATATGTGACGATAAAGTAAGACTCAATTAAATTGATGCCCTTTTTGTCTCAGACAACATCATTTTTTTCTTCTGAAATATAAATATTAAAAAAATAAACATTATGTATTTAAGTTGGAGGGTATTCTCTGGCAAATAAACCATTCATGGGGATACTTTGGCAGAATCTTGAAATATTGTTTTCTTGCAAATAATTTAGTACCTGGGAATAACAGCTTGGCCATCAAGTGTAATTGACTTAGGATTATAATTCTATGTCACTTTACACCTTATATTGCAAAGAAACACATCTGGCATATGTTAGACATCACACTTTGTCAAAAGTCTGCTAAACAATGTAGCAACAAGTATCTACGAAGGAGTAAAATATACAAGGGGGGGGGGGCATGTCAAATATCTGCCATGTGTAGGGGAATCGCTACAATGCTTCACCCAGGCATCAATATTTTTTCCAGTACACTTCAGTTGCTTAAATTGGGATACTGAAATGGCCATCAAATCCAAAAGGCCCTCTTGAAATTTATTTACATTGCAGTTTGGTCCTAAGTAATTGTTTTGGCTGTTTTTTCCAGTTCATTGAAAGTGCAGCATATATCAAGCACTTTATCTGTGTATTCTGCTTCGTTGCCGTCAGAATTGGATTGCCGTTGTATGTACGCATATATACATTTATTTAATTCAATCTGATTCAGTTTTAGAATTTTAATTGTTTCAGGTGCATTTTGCATGCTCCAGTAGATGTCCAGTCATATTAACGCTTCTCGGCTCTCCTATAAATTTCTGTCTGTTTTGGCAGAAAATTCCACATGGAATTTATAGAGAAATACCGAATATTCAGTTGATATAACTTCTAACTTAAGGAATTAATATAAATTTTATTTAAAATTTACAGCTTATTCTGTCATAGTCACAATATTTTTCTGATACATATAAGAAATTTGAATAATATCATCCCTAATAAATATGTTTTGAAGTCCTGGATGAACGAGGAATCATTAAATTGTAATATTGAACATAGTCGCAACTGGTTTTTTGAAGAGATTGTATGTACGTCATGTTTTTCCTTCAAATTTATTTTATTAGTTCTATATTTTTTGTAGTTTTTTTAGTACTTATTATGTATAATTTAAATTTGTGATAACCAACACTTTTAAAAAAGTTGTTATCAAATTAATAATAAATATGATAAAATAAAATACAAATTTAAAATACAATGAAAAAATAAATTAATAAAGGCTCAATTTATTAGATTAAAATCAAACTTGATAAAAGTGCGTATTTTATTGGGTGCATGTTTTTTGAGATCTTACTGTTGGGCATTTTTTATTCTATTTTCAACTTGTTTCTCTGAAGTTACCGGTAGTATGTCAAGCGTTTACTTTTTAATCTCAGATAAAATTATTGATGGGGACGATGTTATTTACAGTGACTTGTTTATTATTGTTGTTGACGATGACAAATTTTTAAAAGGCAACCATTTTCTCATTATAATAACTCATAAGTGACGAAAGTGACATAATTTTCTGTAACCAAGCCAGAAAGTAAATCACCATGGCGACTGGTGAAGCCTAGACTTGTCTTAGTATTTAATCATTGTGTTTTATAGTGATGGTGAGACAGGATCGTATTTACAGTACACTGGTGAAACTGACAAGCCCAAGTTTGCATGTCATGGAGTAAACGTACAAAAAACAAATTTGTATTGACAAGTGAAGGCTAAGTCTTAGACCATTGACATGGCCATGCTTCCTGTATCTGGAAAGTCGGTCACGACCGCTCTGTTCCAGTCAAATTATGTTTACACTAACTAAACATTTGCAGTATGAAGTGTAGCCCGCCCATGCACGGCTCCCGGGAACCATCAAATTGTGCGTTGTCTGGTTTTACTATTAAACAAAGTAGTTTGAAATAACTCAAGACTGTTAGCACTCCAGTACCTACCCAAAAAATTGAGCTTTTACAAGTTTATTTATATTCTGATTATCAAATAAAATTCTTTTCTCAACCTCAAGTGTATAGAGCATAAACAATGAGAAACTAAAACTAGTCTACGTGTTTTCACTTTAAACAAATGAAGTTGAGCTTTGGCTTTTGACAGTTTTCAGAGAGTTTAACTGACTAATTTATTTCAATAAGAATATTAATTACAAATTTTCAGATTAGTGTTTTCAAAACATGAAATTTACCACAAAAACATCTTAGCATGTTGACTGATCTTGTTACCAAACAAGTTATTCCCCACTATCCAATCAATAGGGCGGTATCGTGACATGTGATGCACTATTGACCAATCGTTGATTGAGATACATTTTGTACGTTACCATGTGATTCACAATAACCAATCAGTAATTGAGGTAACTTTGCACGTCATTTACTATTAACCAATCAGTGATACCTGTATGTACAAATGTCCCTCGCCATGTAGTGCGAGAATTGAAGTGTATGACTACGACACTGTGTATAAAGTTCACTGGGACACCATTCGATATGTGAAAGTTTTTGCCTATGAGGAAACTATAAACGTCTAACATGAATTTATATTACGAATCCACCTAATATAAGTCATTGACTAACGCAATTTATGAGAGTGAGTTACTCTCTGCCAGTCTATCTATCAGTCTGTTTGATTTAATTTGTCCTTAAACTATTACGAGTTTAGTTAAACAAATGTTGTACTTTCCCTAATAAAATATTGTGTTGGGGTGCGTGTGTGTTCAAATGTTTCGCATACTTCAGCCTGTAGGGGGTGTTTGACCATGCAACTGTTGATCATTAATGCGCTAAGAATAAACAATTGGAAAAATTAAATTGCAAATTGAATAACTGTTTGTTGAATTATTTGTTAAGTGTACTGTTGAACCTCAAATACACTTTTTACTATCAGTCTTACTTCATTCTCCGTCCTTTTTTTTTTTTTTCCCATTACTACCACTCGCTGTACTCTTTTACTCAGATGCTCTTTCTTTTTTTTTGCCATTTCTCTGTCTAATCTGACTGCTATTTTGACTGTCTTTTCAGTCCCAAAATACATTTTCCAATACAAACTATATTACTTTCTATGTTAACTTGAGTTATTTTTATCTTCTTGTGTTCGTTTACATTGCATTCACATCATCTCCATTTCTGTACGTGTATCTGCACTCTTCGACTCTTTCGGTTTGTCACCTTTCTTTCCATAAATCCAAATTACTACACTTTTCTTCTAAAATAGGGTAAAAGAAAATTATGTCCATTTGGTGTGAATTCAACAAAAAATATGTAGAAAAATACATAAAAATCTGCAAAATGCTGGCGAGAATAATAAAAAACTTGTTTTCAGTAATTATGAAGCTTCGTTATTTGTAATGTTTAATAATTTTTTTGTTTTTCTTGGAGGTCAGGTTGCCAACCTGTATCACGATGGCAGTATAGGAAATTCAATCAATATTGTCGTATCCAGAATGATCATCATTATTGTGGATCAAGTGAGTATTACTCCGTAACTGTAATTTCACACACCAGGGTACTTGCAAAACTTTGGCAGTGAAGATTTTAATTTGGGATCCTTCAAGGCTGTCTACATGAGGCATTTCATTAGGCAACAACACACTGAGCAATGCATGAGGGAAGGTGACAATAACTTGGAAACTATGGCAACTATGGCAATAGTACTTGAAAAAACAACACAACATTGCCCAACAGCACCATTATATCATCTTTGCATTGCTTTCTACATTTTATCATTCTTCATCTTATGTTAAATTTTCTTGACTTTTTCGAGAATTTGTCCCCTTGAATTTGTTTAAACTGGAGTCAATGCGAAGCCACTTACAAGATTGTTTTTGATTGGCCATCCAACCCTAACACCTAACAATCTGGCCAATCAGACGCAGCAGGTTTTCTTTCAACATAACCAATTCTGCCTTATATATATACTTTGACTTGACTGTCAAACTGCAAAAAAATAAAACAGTTAACAGTTCACATATAGATCTGTTGAAGTATCAAAATTTGGTCTACGGTCCACAACCAATATCTTATTACCTGGTAGATCTGATCATCCTTTGTAACTGATATTTGTCTTACAGGTTAATCTTGAAATTAATCACCATGCCGACAAATCGTTGGATAGTTTTTGTAAATGGCAGAAAAGCATCAATCCAGCACTGGATTCAAAAGCGGTATTAGAAGACGGGATAGCGCACCATGATAATGCTATACTGATTACAAGGTACACATATGGCAGCTGTCTGTCCATCCATCAGTCTGTCTGTGAAATCTTCTTCTCTAAAACTTCACAAATGAATTACATAGTTTAATCCCCATTCATTTGAATTACAGAGAGGTGTTTCTTATTGTTATCTTATCATATATTTTTCTAGGTTTGATATTTGCAAGTACCAAAACAAGCCATGCGGTACATTAGGTAAGTTTGAAACTTCTTGTTGAGTGAAAAGTTTTATCAAATCATTGTCGAAAATCTACAGAGAGTGCAAACGCGAGATACAGGTAACTTGCAGCTTTTCTGCAAAAGTTCTTATCTACCGGTATGTTCCAATGACCCTATCAAATTCCTGTTTGATGTGACTGCAAGTAAGATTCACTAATTAGACAGTTCCTTGCTCTATTGCAATGCTCAAAGGAACTTTCTCCTCTGTACAAATTTTCTTTGCGCTTGCTGTAATAAAAATAGGGGGTATTTGAATTTAATGACTTTGCGACAGACACTATTCACATATGATTTGCATATTTGCAGTTTGCATATGATTAGCATAAATCTACATTTTTTTTTTTTACAGAATTATGCACAATTTGCAAATCATGGGGCACGTCTATTGCCAAATTTTTGTACTGGTATATTAAAGTAGAAATATATGTTACCTATTGGTATCTATTATTGTTCTTGTAGGGTTAGCTCCTGTAGGTGGCATGTGCCAGAGTGAAAAAAGTTGCAGTATTAGCGAAGATATGGGTATTGCAACAGCATTTACGATCGCTCATGAAATGGGACATAAGTAAGTTTTTGAAATAGCAAATGCTGTATGTTGGATAAATCTATGAATAATTAATGGTATCTGGATTTAGCTACAATGTCCGAAATCTTGTTATATAATAATAGCTTTTTTTGCTAAATTACCTACATCCTGATTAGTGATCACAGTGTAGCTAAATTAGTAGCAATACAGTGTAGCTAGATTAGTCACAATACAGTGTAGCTAAATTAGTCACAATACAGTGTAGCTAAATTAGCAACAATACAGTGTAGCTAAATTATCAGTAGCTACAATACAGTGTAGCTAAATTGACTACAATATAGTGTAGCTAAATTGACTACAATACAGTGTAGCTAAATTGACTACAATACAGTGTAGCTAAATTGACTACAATACAGTGTAGCTAAATTGA